GCGGAGCGCGGCCGTGTCTCGCATGCAGTTCCTGGAGCAGAAATACGGCTACTTCCACTGCAAGGACTGCAAAACCCGCTGGGAGAGCGCCTACGTCTGGTGCATTTCTGGGAGTAATAAGGTACCTAACCGTCCCTCCCCTGCTCGGCTCGTCTGAGCTGGGGGGAGCCGGGAGATGAGTCCTGGCAACCTGTGCTTTGTGTGGGAGGTCCCTGTGGTAATGGGCTCACTTACCACCTCATAGGTTTACTTCAAGCAGCTCTGTCGGAAATGCCAGCAGGGCTTCAATCCTTACAAAGTGGAAGCCATCCAGTGCCAGGTGAGTGTGTGCTCACGTGTTCTGCTGTATCCCAGCTCTGCCGCAGGCATGACACGCAACTTTTCTCTAGCATCCATGGCCCCTTCAGGAGCCCTAAATCTGATTCCACTTGTGTGTAAGCCTTAAATGCTTTCTTGGCCTAGATGCTGTATTAACTCAGGTCAGCACCAACTAACCAACCTTTTTCCTCCGTCTTGTGGCTTATTTCTAGAGGCTGCAGCAGCAGCAGTGGAAATATTGCTCAGGCCTCCTTTGCAAAAGAGAAATTGCCTGTAAAAACAGAGCTCCCAGCTGGTGCTTTCTTATTCCTTACTGACATGGTCTTGTGCACGCTGGCTATGGTATTTGGTTGCTTCTAAAGTTTGCTCGAATGATGGAGTGAAATGTTACTTGGATACCAGTATTGGAGGTCCTTATCCTTGCACTTTGTCAAGGCTGTTTGCAGTGCATGTATAAATCACCTCTGGACATAGTTACTCAAGTACATGTGTGTAGGATTTGGGGCCTTAATGTGTCTAGAAGATTGCTAGGCTTCGGAGCACAAACTGCAGGAGACTCCTGGCAACATACTGCTTTTAAGCACCAAACATAAATGTGGGTTAATCCAGGTGGGGTTTTTTTTGTTTTGTTTTTTTGTTTTTGAGTACTTGCTGCCTTTGACCTATGAGGGCAAGAATGCCAGGATAGTGTAGAAGTGGCTACCTCTCTGCAGCAGCAGATCTGCCTTGTTTTGCTGAAACCAAAGAAAGAAGTTCA